CTAAAAATTTATGGAATTCTACTATCTCTAGGTGTCCTTTTAATTCAGAAAACTGATTGTTTAACTATTTTTATACTATTTTAAAAAATGTTTTAATGTCAGCTAGTTGGTGGGGTTAATATGTTTATTCATTTGCTAAACAAAAACGTATTGTGCAATTAACAAGACAGGAGCCATGCTCACCGGCACTGGGGGGTGGAGGTGAAACATTTTGTCCGGCCTTCAGGAAAGTGCTGTCCTGCATAACTCCAGGACTCCACTCACACGGGATTTTGTGTGAATGCTGCCCCGTGGTGTTGTGCAATGTGACTTCGGGGATATGGGTAAACAGCCGGTGCAATAGGATAGTAGGAACCAACAGAGAGAAGAACAAAGTAGGAACACATGAAAGGGAGCAATAAGTTCTGCCCAAATCAGAAATTTTTATGGAGAATTTAAAATTCTCTCATCTTTGAAAGAATTTCATTTTACGAATTTGTGGAAGAAATGAAGTAAAAACACACAAAATTCTTTTTAAGGCAAGACATTTCTTTCCAACGTTCCTTAACAAAGGTGTTTCAAACACTTTGTTCTGAGGCATATGCAGAGGCAGATTCCCTCTGACAGGCTATGTTCATGCAGAAGCTCCACTTCCAGAATGATTCTTGCAAGTCAGTGGATGGGCATTGTTCTACCAAGATTTTAGATTTCATTTGAATCTGTGTGTGTGTGCGCGCGCACACACACAGTCATACACATTTCCGGGTGTGGGAAGAAAACTGTTGAACTGAAACAAAACATTTTTTTAAGTTGATAGGGGCATAGTTGGTAGCAAGGTGACAAGGGAGTCTCTTAGCTTCCTATAGAATCATCGGGTAGGTAAATGGAATCTACTTTCCTAGCATGGCTGTTGACCACAGGTGCATATTATCACATCACTGAGGCCAGGGGAGAGAAGTGAGGATACAGCATCACTAGGAGGATACTGGGGAGATCATTTACTGAAAAGTACAGTGGGGTCTTAGCCACAGGGAAGGGCTTCACGATAAGGATTATTATGTGTATTGTTGTGACGGAGGCTTCCTCACATTTCTCAGAGGTCACCTGAGTGACCAAGCTACTGTCCAATGAAACAGTGCCTCCTGTCACCAGCGGTTGATAATCTGCTCGCATTCTTAGCTGGTTGGCATAACCTCTAGCCTCAGTTTGTAAAGCCAACAGGCCAGTGTTAGACTGGCTTCCTTCCTTTGTTGGGAACGGCAAACACCGTGGAAACACGATACGTTCACTCCAAGCTGAGAGGGTCAGACAGCTATCACCCAAGGCCGGATGAAAGGCATCTGGATAAAGCTTGACCACCAAGGAAGGCGACCTAAAGGAAAGTGTTCACATTGCTTGGGTTTCCCCAACAGGGGGGAGTCTGCAGCATCTTGCTCTGTTTTCCTAGGGCCTGCCAAATATTCCTGCAAAGTACTGAACTTTTTGCATCCCTTCGCTTGAATGTGTTGCTAATGTTTTTGCTGGGGAAACTGGCCACTCAAGAGCGCTGTGCACCACAATTGGCAGTTTGTCTTGAATTTGTCTCCCTCCTTTTGTCTGCAGACTGAACTGTGAACCTATGCAGTCACTCGCAGTGACAAGAGACACATACTGACTCTCTCCAGCCCCTTCCTCCAGCGGCAGCTGGGGAGATCTTTATAGCAAAGGTGCCAGGAACTCAAGGCTTCCAAGGGCTGTGGGGAGACACAATGGATCTCCACATTCTAGGTGCACTGAAGCTCAAGGCTTAGCAGCCAATAGAAGCTGAATCGCTCCTCCAACCACACGAATTTTCATTTTCTAAGGCTACGGGTGTTCTCCAAACTGGCACTTGCCCATAGCACACATTTTGCACCTGGAAGAGATAACACAGCCCAGATTGGTGCTTATCCCGTCTGTGTTTTGAGAAGGGCCAGGTGCGAGAGGCTCATCACAATGTGGGTCTTAGCTTGTCAAGAGATTTGGCGTGTCACAACAGGCAAGCATCAACTTGTCATTGGTCTAGCTGCTTCCCCGAAACATTAAGTTGAACCAAATGAAACTGAACTTTTTGTAGGTCAAGAAAGATCAAATCAAGAAAGAACAGTTTTACTTGGTTCTTCTTAATTCTTGTTGATGAACAAGAATTAACATTTATGAAGTAGCTTCTACGTCCCAGGCCCTCTGTGGGGACATTAGCTATGCTGCCTTAATTTTCATTCATGACATCAGGTCAAGGTGCTAGTATTACCTCTTTTTACAGATGACACAATGGAGTTTCTGAGAGGTTGAAGAATTATCTGTAGGCTTGGTGAGGCTGAGATAGGAATGCCTCTAAGGCCTGAATATTTTCACTCTGCTGTGTGTAGATTTTGCCTTATAGAATTGCCAGTAAGGCACACAGGCGGTTCATTTGAACTAAAAGGTAATAACTGAAATTGTCTGCATGTGGAAATGACTGAGTCACATACTATGTCACTACTCTGCGAAATGGCCTGCAGTGACTCTGCTGACGGTGATGTACAAATTCACCGAAGGCCTCAATATTCTGCTCGTTTCCCTTTCTAGCGTTATTCCCTGTTATTTTCCTTGCACCCATTCTCCACTTCCCAGGTCATATCTTAGATCACCTCACTTACATGGCGACCCCTTGTCCGAGCCACATTCTCTTCCTGAAATTGTCTATCCGATCTGTAGAATCAGCAGCAGAAATTTTACCCATCGTTGGAGGCCCACTTTGAATGCCTCCTGGGCTATTAAGTTTTTCTGGGTCCCCAAAAGATGTGAACACTTCTTGCTCCAAAGTTCTATAGCCCCTTGAATGCCTGCTCAATTCCTTACTGCTTCTGGTCCTACTGGCGAGAGGGCTATTTGCACACTTGCCCATCTTCCCCTTAGAGCAGGGGTTGGGGGCAAACTTATTCTGTAAAGGATCATACAGCAAATATTTTAGGCGTTGAGGCCATATGGTATCTACCACAGCTACTCAACTCTGCTGTCGTATTGCGAAAGCAGCCATAGAAAATACCTAAATGAACAGGCATGGCTGTGTTCCAATAAAATTTATTAATAAAAACTTGTGGCAAGCTGGATTTGACCCCAGTATGCCAACCCATGTCCTAGCTTATTGGTTCTCCACTGTTAGCAGTCGTGTCTTCCTTATGTCTGTATCCCTGCTGTGTTGTATAGAGTCCACAGGTGGCACTCATAAATATTTGTGGAACTAAGAATTCGGAATTACTGGAATCAGAGATGCTATTTTTCAGCTATCGGTGAGGCCCTGAGAACTCTGCAGATTCCTCTCCTCCTGCGATTGTTGTCTGTGCATGCCACTGAGCTGTCAGAACCTCTGACCTGCGGCTGATTTTGCTGTAGGCTCAGGACCTTGCCTTGAAGCTTCAAAGGCAGACTGACTTCTAAGGAGCCATAAAACACCACATTGTGTCAACCCCTTCTCCTCAAACTCGGGAAAACACCAGTAAGTTTTAGAAAGTCACTGTAGGCTGAGATTCTGCTAGTGCAACAAAGGAAGCTACACGAAATGATCTCTGATTCCAAAGAAAAGGGAATGGTGAGTAATGGGCTATGGAAGAAGCCCACGAAGACCTTTTCCTTTCATTGAACCGGCTAGTTACTAAATTTGTAACGATCTATAAGGGAGAGACACTCGCCACTCTTGGGCTTCATTCATAAACGCAGTTGCATGATTCTATGTAGGTTACATCTTCAGAGGCTTATATATCTATCTAAAATACAACAGCTCATCCCGACCATATTCCCCAGGTGCTGGGGCAACCTTCTTTATTTGTTGACGATATTTTATGCATCAAAACACTTCCATCCTCTAAGTTCTTGGGCATCCTCAGTTGGTTCTCCACCCTGGCTTCATATTTATTATTAGCTCCTGTCCTCAGTCAGCTCTGCCCTCCTTCCTTCTTTCTAAATTGCTTGATATGCTAGAGATGACCTAAATACCACTGACCAGGAGCCATTAGTCTATTAGTTATAATATAATACAAAAAAGAATATAAAGAACATATACGGGGATATATATGTAATAAGGGATATGTAATGACCAGCAACTAGAGTGCCTTCAGTACGTACTTATCTCTTTTCATATGGAAGTACCTTTAATCTATTTTCTTTCTGTCTGGGATCACGGCTACAAAATCATTGTGGACGAAAAGGGATGGCATTTAAGCACAAACAGATTAAGAACCAATTTTGGAGGTTTAGTGATGAAGGAAACAGATACCAATTCCCTATTCCCTACCTCTCTTTCAGCACACACAGGGCCAACTGCTCTGTGCGGAAGACTGAATATTATTGCAATGGATGGGAAGAAAATGTGTTGACAGAGTGAAAAACAAAATCATGTCGTTTGCTGCCAAGGCATCCAGACTTTTCCACCCTTGGCTAGTGAGAATTACAAGCATAATCCAGCACTCTGCTCTCTGTCTCGGCCCCGACGCCGTCAGCCCTCTGTGCCTCCCCACCCCCGCCTCTCCAAGGCCCCTGCCTCTCGGAAAGAAACAGCAGGTTATTTTAAAGCCGTGGCCTGAGAAGGCCTCTTGGGCAAGTCCACTCAAGCTGCTTTCTGCAGGAATCCTAATTGCACATCTGCAGCAAAGCTGCTAGAGTACTCGCCTAGAAAACAAACCTATGTTTCTATAACCAGACCGGGGTCGCCCCTCTGCTGCTATGAAAAGCATACTATCTGATCATCATTTTTATTAGATCACACTCATGCATATTATTTAAGACAACTGATGGGAACTCTTGATAAAAATCGCCCCCATTCACCCTGTGTGCTTCTTTCTTTCCATTGAGCTACTTACAAATGTTGGAAACATGAGTCTTAATCAGACCACCTAGACAAGCCCTTGATTTCAGGCCCGGTGGCAGAAGCCGGTGTTCCTGCCCTGCGGAGATGCAGTGGGGAAGGAAATGGGGGAGGGGGAGGAGCGGGGTGGGGAGCAGGTCCCAGAGCTGATATTACTCACATGTGTTGGGAAGCATTGGGGTACAGTTTTGAAAACTGTGGGGCTGAGTCCTCGGGGCCGTGGGGCGCCGCGTGGCTGATCACCATCATAATGGGCCTATGGGGATACATTCTCTTAGACATTTTGAAGTAATTAATGCTCTCGTTAGTGATTAAGTCTGTGAAGTAGTCCTGAAACATACATTTGACACAAAACAAAAATTACAAAAGGTGACATTCATCAGATCACATTTGAATATTGCTTTCCTCAGAAGCATCTCACTGAGTGAAGATGTAAGGTCTAAAGCAGGGAGGGGTGCTGAACTTCCCAAGAAAGCAGAACATCTTCTGGAACAGAGAAAACCGGTTGCCAGGTACTTACTAGGGTTGGTAGCTTGGGAACATGCAAAAAATTTATTTTAAGTAATGCACAATTTAGCAATGAGGAAAGAAAAAAGTCAAGTCCTGTTTGCCCAAGATAATGATCAGATCTGGCAATCCAAATGCTAGAGCTTGAAACACCGGATACATTTTCCCTTCTCAGCTTTCATTGATGTAATCCGTTGACAAAAAATTTAATTACTTCAAGGGCAGGAAACACCCACGCCCACTACAAATTCACAGTTGCAGAACACACACACACACACACACACAAGCACACATGCACATAAATGCACAAACAAAAGAATAGATCTTTTCTTTCAATTAAAAATTCACCTGTAGGAATTACGCAAATTGCTAATGAAAACTGTGGCCAAAATGTGGGTGCACAGGGAAAAGCTGCAACATCTTATTAATTAATTGACTTGAAACCCTCAGTGTGGGAAGCGGTTGATTTGTGCAGATTATACTCTGTTAATTGCACAACTAAAATGATACAGCTGCTGGGACTAGAGCCTGATTTGTTAATAAAATGACTTAACCCGCAGTCAAAGGGGCTGATGTAAGTCTATGAGGGGGAGGGAAGAAATGGAATGAAAAGGAAAGAAAAGACGAAAAACTAAATTAAACCACCTGTTTCCTCTAAGTGTGTATCATTGGCCTGAAGCGCCAGTATAAACTTTATTCCGAAAGCACCCGGGCAAGGTTTACAGTATCAGGGGCATCCAGGCATGACTAATCACATGTAGATTCAAGGACCAGAACAGCTGCAGAAGCAGTGCCCAAGGGACGAAATCTGTGTCACATGTCATTGTTAGGGCAAGTCCACAGGCTATCACCTTCTTCCATGGGAGTGTCTGTTTCATTCCTTTCCTCACTATAAAAAGACATATTTTCTTTTCGGACACAGTTGCCTTTGACACTTAATCAGCTGTGATAATGAGCAAGTTACGCTGATTTAGTCTTTGGAGGGAATCTTGATTACTTTGCTCTCCTTAGGACAACAGGGAAAGAAAGGTTAATAGCTTGAACAAGGAGCGTGAAAAGCATCCCCACAGATAACAAATGAAAGCAGTGACAATTAGAGCACTTCGGAGGACGACGTTGCTCAATTCTGCCTCCAAGGTCCCCGCCAGCTCTCAACTTTGATGAGTCTGGAAACCTATTAGCAATGTTTGTGAACTCATTTGCATTCGTTGTTTTCTAAAGGATATGAGAGAGACTGACACCTTATCTCCCACCAGGTCCCTTGTGCTCAAATCAGGCCAAGCCTAAAGACAGCAACGTGCCAAAATTAAATCAAGGTCCCGTTTTCTGATTTCTACCAATGGCTCTTTCACAGCGAGCTATGCTAGATAGAGCAGATTCTTGGCTTCTTTTAGATAAATGAGGAAGAGATGGGTAAGGCTAGAAGGAAAGAGGATATTTTAGGCTAACGAGCAGGCTAAATTCAAAGATATTTTCCCCTTTACTCTTGTGATCTGAAAATTGCTTTAAATTGGCAATCACAGAAACTTTGTGAATTTTAAAAAAGTCTAATCTAGGATCCATTTGTTAAAGAACCACGGGACATGTCAATTTCAGTTTCTATGAACTGATTTGGAAATCCCAGGACTGATAGCCTTAGAGACTTGGGTGGACTCTAGCTGCTCCCGGGCAGGTGTCCTTGTCACATGTCTAAGCTTGGTCAGACAGAAGTAAAAACAAGGAATGTGGTTTCCCAATTTTTTGTTATTGCACTTGTCTGCTCTTATTCTTACATCTAAATCTGAAGCCAAAGACAAAATAGACTTTCACCCCAATGAGAAGCAAAACAATATGAGATGAGCATTTGATTATGTGGACACATCTAGAGGGGGAAAAAACAAAAATTATCACAAGACAGCGTGGAGGCATCTATGATTTTCTTGATGATACTTTCGTCAAAGGCTGATTGCCTTTCCACCTAATGAGGGGAAAAAAAATCACTATTCAAAGTCAGTGTTCCTTGAGAGTCTTTTCCTGCCTGGAGTTTAAAATTACCTTAAAATTTCTCATTCTAGCATTGTGAGAACATAGAGAGCCAATGTGGTGGATAGGTTAACTCACTGAAAATGGCTTTTCCCCATTATGCACGAAGTAAATTGATGCAGTGTGAAAGTGCCTGAAAATTACCTTTGCATAATCAAATCCATGCTTTTCTTTGATGCCATTGCGACAAACAGTGTAATTATAGAAACGAGAATTCTTGATTAATCCAAGCCATTCTCGCCACCCAGGAGGGATGTAGCTGCCGTTATATTCATTGAGGTATTTTCCAAAAAAGGCTGCAACGGGAAAAAAAGGATGATTTTCTCATATGAAGTGATTAATCATAAATCAATGCCTAAGTATGAGGTTATGACTTGAAAAAGAGACAGTAAAACAAAAGTTAACCCAGGTAATAGTGGATGCCAAAATAATATTAGCGTAATACTCAGATCCTTTGGCAAAGGGACACACACACATTTTCCTTTTGAATAAATAAAAGTAGCACCCAGGCACATGGATTATAGTTCAATGAAATCACCACGATGATCATGGTACTGTGGGTGCGTCTGTTACTTGTGGCTCTACTGGGATAAAAGCAGAACGTACCCTTTCGTTAAGTTGATGTAACAGTCAGAGAAGTAGGTAGTGTGATTTTGGAATGCCACCTCTGGGGCAAACATCGGAGAGCTGAAAGTTCAGTCTTTGTGATAAATAAGTTCCCTAACTTACTGTTTGGGAGATGCGAATTATGACACTATTGAAAAGCTCGTCTTTGTTTTCCCATATCCAGAGAGTACAAATTTTCCCAATCAAGGAACTGTGGTAACCTCCATTTTTATGGGATGTGCTCAGAAGTTTTACGTCACATATATGTATTTTACCTCATCAGTGTTTACGTTATGTGTATTTTACAAAGGTGTATGTCTATTGTTGATGATAAAAAATTCTGGCAACGTAGAGTTACTACACGGATGACTAATTTTCATAGAATTATAGTATATAGAAGTGTATGTGCCACAAATGCTCCACTGCCCATTGAAAAGGCCACTGGAGAGACTTGACATTTGTAACTTTCACATCCCAGAAGGGCCACCGTGCTACGGGGCTGACTAATCCTTTCTGAGAGGGAAACTTCGAAAGGGGTCCTCTGTCAAAGATAACGATAGGAGAGGGCAAAGGGGAGAGAAAGGCAGGTTGGGAATTCAGGAACAAAATGGGTGGAAAATGGGTTAGATCTTGAAGTCGAAGACCTTATAACTATCAGAAGGGTAGCCAAAAACGTATTGTTGGCACACCTGAGAGAGAAAGAGGGTCTATTTGGAGTTATTGTAATTTCACCAGGAAAACAGGAATAAACAAGCACTATTATGGGTGAAACTAGTAGCTTTTTGGTCACCCTGTTAGCCATACACGTAGCCTTCCTCTCAAGTATGAAGGACTAGAGAAAATTCTATTGTATGTACGTATATATAGGTATATGTATGTGTGTATGTGGTACATATTTTTACATATGTATATATGTATTGATACAGGAGCATGTCATACATACATACATACACACATGCATGCAAGTTTTAATTTTTCTGATTTTTAAAAGGCTGCAATCTTTCATTTTAGGGAGAGACCGCGTTCTGCGGCCAGCCAGATGACTTCCATGTCAAGGACACCTCCCAGCTTCATTAAGCAGGTTTTATAGGTGCTTCTACTTGCATCCATGAAGAAAGGTAGTTCCTGGATGACTGGCTTGAGATGATAAAAACAGATCCTAGAATGAGGTTCTTCACAGGTATTGCTCTTCAAGCACACATTTCTGAATCTTAAACTTATCCGCCATTCATCCTTTCTGTCTCTTTATGGGACAGCTATTTAGTTTGCTTTCATCTTTGGTATGCAACGACCTGTAGAAGATCTTCATCTGAATGTTTCACTTGCCCCTTAATGCAGTCGTCTAAAAGGGGATTAATCATTTTCCCCTCCAAATGTACTTCTCTCCTCAGATGTCCTTTAGTTCTCTGAGTGGCACGATCACCTTCCTGGTTAACTAGGCTTGGCACCCGGAAGCCTTCCCTGACTCCATCTGCATCTCTGCTCCTCTTGCTGAGCAGTTGCCATCCCCTGTAGGTTCTACCTGGGTAATTGCTCTCGAACCTTCCCTCTTTCTCTGATACTTGACACCCCTCATGGATGCCCATAGTCTCCTGACTGGCCTTCCTAGTCACTGGCCACTTCTCACTGCCACGTTCTTGAAACCAGTTCATTCACATCACCCTCTTCTCACAATCTTGGATGGACCCTCCCCACCTAGAGAATCAAGTTTAAGTTGAGAGCTTGCCATCCAAGACCTCCCTTGGGTCTGGACAAAATCCCTCTCTTTCCAACCCCGTCTTGCATTTCTGTTAATTATCCCTCTCTCTAGCTAATGTGTTTCCTCTGGTTTCCATCCCTACCTCTGCTTGTGCGATTGTCTCCATCTTCTCCCTGTCTAGTATCAAGGCCAGAGCAGATGCCATTTCACTCCCAGTCTTTGCCCCAATCACACAGCAATTTGTCTCTGTGGCTCTAATGCCATCTTCTCTTTCTTTCTGGTGGTATAGTCACACTCATATGTAAGCCTAATACTTCTTAGACTGTAAGGTTTTTGAGGGCAGACATTGCCTTTGCCTCATCTCCGTACTCCCTGCCCCCTATCCTTGCACATAGTGTACAGGCTCCATAATTTTTGTTCTTGAACTGGGGTTCATGGGCTCCAATGTATTCCGAGTTCTTTAACATGTTCTAGACTTGTTAGAGTCTATTTTGTGTTTTCACTTGAATTATAATTTTTTAAAGCAGATTTGGTCTAAATATTTTCATAGAATAGAGCTTCAGAATTGTTGAAGTTGGTTATTTCTCATTGAGTTTATTTTCTTTGAAGAGTTGAGTCAACTCTGAGCAACACGGCAATGTTTGTCTATTTGTTGAATGAATGTTTATACGTTGAATCTGCAAATGTGTGAGTCAATCAAGTGGTCAATTAGCTGAATGCCTACTGCTTGAGGATTCTGCCAGGGCCCGGGGACAGATGACGGGTATGGGACAAAGTGTCAGAGCGTCTCACGTCAAGTATGACTCAGAATTTCCCTCTAAGCCAACTGCACGCAGTAGGAATTCTAATGTGGGGTTCTTGTCTGCAGAGACTAACCATCTTTTCACATAGAACCTCTAGATGATTTTCCTTTTCTGACAAAAGGCAATGGGACTTGGAGTCGCAGGCAGCGGACCAAGGCCACACCCTACCAACGTTACTTCACAAGGGGACTGTTTCCAGGAACCTTCCACTTAATAACCTCAGACGCAGCTCTTTCCTCTGGCGTGCTCCTCATCCCTGGGGGTTTATTCCGTTTCTTTCTCCTTTTGTTTTCAAAGAAGTGAAAGAGCAGAGTGCTTTGGAATATGAACCTGGAGCCGGCCTGCTTGGGTTCCGAGCCTGGTCTGCTGCTTGCTACCTGTAAGTCCACAGCAAGTTATTTAACTCTCTCTGCTTTCAATTCCCCCTCTGTAAAAACATGAAGATGATAATAATCATAGTGGCAGGACTGTTGTCAGGATTACATGAGTTAATACATATGGAAAGTGCTTACCACAGTGCCTGGCACATAACAAGGGCTTTCTATGTGTATTATTATTAGCATCACCATTACCATTATCCTTTCAACTCCGTGTTCTGATTTTAAATAATTGGCCATTCTGTAGTGCAAGAACTCTTTGTTCCAGAGTTCTGCACTTGCATATTTGAAAACATCTCTTGACAGGTAACATATTTTTCTTCTCCAATCTGACTTATTTTGTCAACAAATTCTCTCCCATTCGACTTCCATTTTCCTGCTTAATAAGTTTCTAGATTTCTCCTGCTACTTTCCGCTTTGTTCTGTTTTTCCCTCTGGCAGCAGCCACGCCGAATCATTCCTGCCCTTCCCTCATTGTTTCACTCATTGGGTTATTTTGTACTGTTTTTTACCCATTGCCATGGCTCTTGCCCGTCCCTTAATTCTCTCCTTATAAACTATTCCTTCTAGTCTCTTCATAGTCCCGGTTACTCACTTTAGAACTCCATCCAGGTTTTTGGTGTCTCTGTGTTAATGGAGTGTAAAAATGTAGTCAGTGTTCCAGATGTGCCCTCACCCATCACACTTGTTCCAAGAGAGTCCAGGACCTCATGTGTCACCATGTGGCACCCCAGTGTTGTCAGCTTCCAGTTACTCTGGCCTGTCTTGTTGCCCAGTGACATTGAGACTCATTTGTAATCACCCCTGGCCTCTTTCAGCATTATGTTTCCTGGCAGCGCTCTGCAATTGATTATCTGGGCTTCTAAATATTTTCCTCCAGATGTATTAAATCTCTTTCTCCCTCCCTAAGGTGAATTTCATTTTCTTGCCCATCTTGCCATTATATTATGCACAGTTTGAAGCTTTTCTATCCTTTGGCATTGGCAATTCAACTCAGCTTACTCCTATCTGAATCTGTCACTAACACACCATCTACCCGACCTTCTAGATCATTCTCTTCTCTGGGACACCATTAACGCTTCCCTTCACAGCTGTTTAAGAAGGTGGCAGGGGGTTGGGCAACAGGGAGAGAGATCAGAAAGATTATAATTACTGTTGACTTTAGGCCATGCAGCTTCAGTCCGGGACTGTCTTAGAAAAATTTCCTTGAACAATTTGAAGCAAAGGCATCTAATTTTAAGTCGGCAACAGCAGCTATGCAAAAGATTTCTGATGCTGTGGAGAATTTAAATCTTACTTAATGTAACAAATGATATACTAATTGAGCTTTTACTCCATTTAATTGCTAGGTTTGGGCTGGTAAGATTTCACTGGTAGTAATTAAAAATATACATAACTTTGAAGAAAGTTTAAATTATGATTTACTCTTATGTCAACTTGCACATGAACCTGGTTTCTGCGACTAGATTGCAAGTCTACTGACGACAAGGATCTGACTTTATATCTCTTAATATCTTAGTGTCTGGTGTACTAGATATAGCATACTCAACAATGTGGCTCAATAAATGGCATACGGTGGTATGCTATATCTTATGTTTATGTACTTATCAAAAGTCTATAATACCATAATTCATAAAAATGAGAATATTAGTTTGTCTTACTTTAAGGTAATTCTACATTTAAAAAAGTCTCATATTAGAGAATAAATAAATATACTTGCTATAGGTAGCATAAATAAATTTTGTAATGTAAAAAGACATGAAACTGGAAAATTGATTAATATATCTAAATTGTTTTGTTACAAAAGAATTCTTTCAAAAAGTTTAATTGTAGATCTCTATTAAACGTTGGCTCTTCCACTCCAGTGTTATGAAATAGAATTAGCATGACTAAAATTTAATTCATATATGATTGTATGCATCCTGTGTTATGATTATAATTCGAGCACTACAATTTTTAAATGAATCAATATAATAATTACAGTGATTATAATAAGATTACAATATACTTTTGGACAGGAAAGAACACTCAGGAATCATTCTAGTCCAATCTCTGCATTACATAGGTTGGAAAACTGGCCTGGACAAGTTCTCAAAACAAATTAAAGGCAGACCTGGGATGTGACTTCAGCTATCCTCAATCCTCGTTCAGGATTTTTTTCTATTACTTGGTGCTACTTCTCAAACATCAGTTATTACTTTTACGTTAAAACTTATGCCAGGTTTTACATTCACGTCTATACCCTCACAAGAAATTTAAACTACTTTTTTTTTTTGAGCAGATAGGCAGGATGTTCATTTTTATGATAGATAATCCAATATCATTCCCACTTCACTTGTCAGAACATAAAATGCAATAGACACGTTACTGTATTTTCCCCTTCTTGACATTTAAGCTGTTGCAGAGTCATATTTTCCATGAGTAAAGTTAGAAAAATTTACACTATAGCCAGTCCAAAAATATGCCTCAGTTCTGAAAAAGAAAAATCATGTCATACAATGGTAAGTATAATATTGGATCAATTCGATTCATTTACATCCATGTATTCTGGACGCCTCCCAAAATAAGCCTCTTAGTCATTTGTCTTCTCCGAGTTGTTCTTCATAAACCTGATTGCAGCTTTGTGTTTTTCTCTAGATGGATATTTATGTGGAATACATATTTCAGCTTCCTTCATTATTTTTCTTAGGTTCTCAGCTAAACGTTCCAAATAATGTGTTCATTATTAGGAAAACAGTAAAATCTTTATATACTGGCTTTTTTCCCACCAGTTTAGCGGCTCATAAATAATTATGTTGGTTTAATACCTACTCACCAATTCTCTTAATTTCCTAAGATGCCTGTCATCATGATGTGCTTATTTGTGTATTTTCAAATGAGTCTCTGTCCCTGGATGGATCAATAATTATTGTTACAAAGACCTCTTTATGTCCTAATTGTCTGTGGCACTTCAAAGTTTTCCCATCAAAGATAAGTTCAAATTATATAGATCTCTAACATTGCCAATTTAGTCTTCCAATTTTTAATTTTTTTGATTTAATGGGCACATTAAAAATTTATTTTCCTGAGTGCATATCATCCTTTTTCTATTCCTACCCAGGAATTTGGAAAAGTCTTTGTTTCCCTTAAAGAATTCCTTTTCTTCTGTAGGATGACTCAGTATAAATTCCATTATTACCTAAGCATCTAGACCCCTGGGGAGAAGGTTGGTTTCAGAATCAGACTTAGTTTCCAGGAGCAATCTCCTCTCCCTGGAGAACACAACTAACTGAAGCACGCCCTCTGGGCTGCACCAAAGGGGCTGACAGTTGTCACTGGGAAAACCTTCTGGTGCGCAGTTTCCTCGTTCACCTAACCCCAAGGGTAGGATGGCATACAGAAAGAGCCCTCAAGACCAAGGTCTTGGCACCTGCTCTTCCCATTGGAACAACACATGTGTCACTTCAAGAGTCATCTTAATCTCTTGGGTCTAAGTTTGTTCATCTGAAAATAAGGGAATGGAACCAAATTATTTTTGAGTTTTAGTCAAGTTTTTGTAATGCATAGGGTGGATACAGCATAGTATAACTGGAACAAGTACCAGATACACCATTTCTCCAGAACTCATTCATCTTCTTTTCCCCCTTTCTTGATTTAGCCCTGAAACAAGTTAGCAAGCCCTAGTTGACCGCTCTAAGTACTGGCAGGATTCTCTGTGTCACCCCGAATCTCTATTTCTTATGATCTCATGGCCGACACTGTCCATATCAGTCTGGATATGGTGAAAGTTCTAACTGTCTGTGTTTCAACCCTCTGTGTCTCTATGTCTGCTGGTTATTAGCACTGTTGAGTCTATTCTAACTACTATTCATAAGGTTTCCACAGCCAATTTTTTCAGAAGTGGGTGTAGGTCCTTCTTCCTAGTCTGTCTTAGTCTGGAAGCTCCACTGAAACCTGTCCACCAGGGGTGACCCTGCTGGTATTTGAAATACTGGTGGCGTAGCTTTCAGCATCACAGCAACACTCAGCCACCACAGTATGACAATCGATAGACAGTGGTGTGGTTCCCTGACCGGGAAACAAACCCTGGCCATGGCGGTGAGAGTGCCGAATCTTAACCACTAGACCACCAGGGCTGGCTCTATGTCTGCTAATAGGGATTAAATTACAGAGAACCTGGGAGTTGAAAGGCACTGACTTTACACAACACTTCCCATGAACAAAACACAATTTGGTGGTTAAAATCAGAAACCAGGCATTAGGGGACCATTTCTGATTTTGCGTCTGAGCTGGTCATACAACTTTTGAAATCCCCATCTTGGTTATAAAACAGAGCCAAGTACACTTGCTGGCTATGAACCCTCCAGGGATGTTTGATGGATTTGCAAATTGCTTTAGTGTTCTCAGATGAAAGGTGCTGTAAATTTAAATCACTGCTGTGAGAAAACACACTCAGGATAAGGCACTCTGAGCAGCCTAGTTTCTTTCCTAACCATAAGCAAACACTCTTGAGATGCATGGGAGGAGCTTCTGTGAGCGTAGATTTTGAGATGCCTGTGAATGACGATGCTATCGTATTCAAAATCAATATTTTCATCTATAAATAACAAGTATTAAGTGCCCACAGGGTCCTCTGCAAAGCAAATGGCCACATATTTCCTGAGCCCAAGGGGAAACATTAATTTCATTTTTAAAGAGATTTGAGAGAATACATTATCCGAAATCCTTTACTTTTAAATCTTCAGGACAGAGAATCTGTAGACCTGAAAGTTATTTCCAACAAGCTTTAGCTTTAATGAAATCTTTAATTCTTATGAATAAGTCTAGGTGGTTCTGAAAAAAAAACATTTTTGTACTATAGCCCCCTTCTCAATGTCCTGGCTTCCTTTCATGAAGAAAAGCTCAGAAAACTCGAGGAGAGCATCTAAATGCTGAGAGAATAAAGGATTTGGAGGGCTACCTTACCAGAAGGAGCCTTGCGTCTTTCTTAGAAAGACTGGCGTGATGTTCATGACCCTTCTTGAAAGAGATCCCCAATTTTCAAAAGACCAACTAGCCAAAACCCTCTTGTTGCTCCATGTAGGTTAAACAATGATAGTAGGTGTAGCAATTGGGATGCCTTCTTTTCCTGGAAGATGGAGGTAAATATCTGAGACCTAAAAATAACCACAACTTAAGCTAAAGAAATTCCAAGACTTATAAATTATGAATGAATCAATAATTGAATCAATAAGGTACATCTCCTTGGTTTATTCATTCAGTTATTAATTCAATCAATAATTTTGATCATCTATTGCACCCCCGCCCTGGGGTAGGTGCTAATCAGTTTCAAAACACTTGATGATTACTCATTGGAATAATCAATAGGAATTTACTGTCTAAGATAAGCCTCAAGCTGTGCCATGATCCCTTGAGACTTGAGAGGTTGAGGTATGCAGGTAAACAGAATGAAAACTCTTCTGTTGCACGTTGTCCTGGAAAATTCCAATTGCTGGATGCTTTGATGGGTACAGCACTTTCATAAAGTGTCCACTGAGAATCATTCTGACTTTTCTCTAAGGGATTTCTCATCGGTACATTCTTCTGAGTAAAGAAGTAAGAGATGGGGAGGATACGGATACAGAAGAAAAGCCTAGACTTTCATTTAGAGACTTACTGGAACTTCATATATTTCATTACACAGTGCAGTTACCTGTGTCTAAGACATATTACCCATAAGTCCATTTCATGGGCTAGAAATTTCCTCCTTTCTTTACCTGTTCTGTAGCCAGTGTTGTTAAGGTATACAGCAAAAGTCCGAGGTTCATGCATCGCCTGCCACGAGGGTGAAGAGCAGTTCTCATTGTTGGTATAGACGTTGTGGTTGTGTACATACTTCCCGGTAAGCATGGAGGATCGGGAGGGGCAGCACATGGGCGTCGTCACAAAGGCATTAGTGAAGGTGGCCCCGCCGTGTTCCATTATCTTTCTCGTTTTGTTCATGACTTGCAGGGACCCTGAAAGGCACAGTTCCAGCATTGTTTAGCAGAGCGCGCCACACGAACGCCCATTTACGTCGTGTCACTCAGTGACTCTGTCCTCCTGATTTATTAATTTCCCTCTCTTGGCTTGAAGGAGTCTCTAATTTGACCAGCTCTCATTTCCAGAACAAACTTAAACATTTGGGATCCTACCATCTCAAGTATTTTGCAGAATAATAAACACGTTTCAGCTTCTTCTCTCCTTAATCACAAAGAAAAAAAATGCAGGCTAATCTGATAATTAAAGCTAGAATTTTAGATATGGAGCAGGTTCAAAGGCCAACAGCCCTTTGAAGATTACCGGTGAACAACAGCTTGTTACACAGAGGATCAAACTCCAGCCTACCACACATGCACAATGTTGGTGACAGTGCAGAGATGACCAGACAGTGTTTTAATCATATGAAATTAAAAGGGGAAAAAAAAAAATTCCCTTTTAAGCAGAAGTCCCTCAAAATGCCTGTATTTAATTAAGAAAAAAAAGAAAAAGATCTTAATGTAACTTGGTACCCTCTAGCAAACTCATCACATACCTGCCAGTTTTTCTATCAGGATAGCACTGCCAGTTTATATTTTCACCTGTTTATATGTAATTTTAAAAGATATATTGTTTGCTTTTGAAAGAACTATGATTCTATTGCACTCAGAAGTATTTACATGGTAGTAAAATATTCCACTTTAACTGTAAAGGATGAAATTATAACATCAGATTGCTGAGGAAGAAAAAAATTCTATTTCGATTACTCCATCCAGCCAAACACTGCAGCTGAAACACATCCAAACAGTGCAGAAAAAAAACACAGGCCAGAATTCAATAGTCTTTTCAGGACTTGTCAAGAAATGCACTACAGAGTACCACAGCCAAGCCCATTGCATTTGAATCCCGGAGCCTCACATTTCCAACAGGTCCCACTTCTTCCAAAGAAAGGGGGAAAGTCTATGTAGTTTTCTAGCAAGGAAGGAAATCGTAATGCAAACCAGGCAAGCATTCAGAGCACAGGAGAGCATGCAACCATCCAAAAAGCCACAGTTAGCCTGATTTTTTCACATACTAGCTTTTACCATTCACATGAAACATATGCAAACAGTAAGCAGGTTCTAATTGGGTCTCATTAGAGTCCCCTAAAATGTGCTTCAGTTAGGGGACTCCTAACTGTTTTTTCCCCTCGGGTTATCTTCAGGGGATCAAGCAACCTTTCTGTAATCAGTGAGTAACATGTAGGGAGCGCCCGTTTCATGCTGAACATTCTATCAACCTCAGCACTCTGGGCTGGTCCTCTAAGTGTAGCATTAACAAAAAGAATGGAAAATTCTCTGCGGCCTCTGGTCCTCAATACGAAACTATCTAGATGAGAACCAACATAGAAAAGTCGCTTGGGGATATTTGCAAAGCAACATACACATAGGAATGCAGATATAGCATAGCAGTATACACGAGGATCGAGGGGAGCCGAGTGAATGTTTAATAAGAGCTCTGAAATAAGACAGGAGGAGCAATGGAAGTAAAGGAGGAAGGAAAATGGGCAGAGTGTACTCTTGGCACATGGGGAGGACGGTATGTGCCGTGCTCTGGAGGTGGGAAGAAGGAAGTGAAGTGAGGAGGATGGCACACTGACTTTCTGGAATGAAAAAGAATATGGAGAATTCTCTTGATGAAATGTAGGAGGCAGAGATAGCAAATAGCTTGGAGGCTGCGCAGCCATATTTGGATTTGATAGAACTGACAGAATGAAGGCAGAATAGGTTCTCTGTCAAAGGCAGGAACAGTATGGTGAGGTGTTGCTGTGGCAATGTGACAACAGAGATATACGATTGAGGAGGAAACAGGCTGGTCCATCAAGGGGACAGCCAAGAGGTCCCTGAAGCCGCCAGGCCATGGTGAACTGTACTGGTCACTAAAACAGAGCAACTCCAGAAGCACATAAGAGGCAGTGTAATGCATCAGAAGGCTGAGTTAACTAATACCTCAAAGTTTTCAGCATGGGAAGAAAGTTGGAAAAGTAGCTATTTCACTGTTGGTCAAGAAGTAACTAAAAAGAAATATGCCCTATAGAAGTAACTAATCAGAAATGTTGCATTTTATACTTGTGTTGGGAAATATATTTGCGTTGGGAGATCTAAGTGGCTTAGGCCACTGCCAAGGCATACAGGGGAAACATCCTGGAGGCAAACAGATGATGGAGACACAAGAGTGGGAAGGGAGTGGGATGTAGATGCTGAAGTCTATTCACTAGTCCTCTCTCCTCTTTAGATTTCTGCAGCGGTTACTTACTATAGAATCTTGAATTTTGGGAAAACTCAGCAAACACTGTTGAAGGATTCTCATTGCCTAATAGTCACTTTGTTTCAAAGAATGAGCTCTCTGAGAGTCCTTTATGAGCCTAGCTGAACTCAAATAAAAAAAAAAAGGATGCAACTGGAAGCCATCTTCCAAGGTCCTGAATCACAAAGCTGCCACCTCCAGTTTACAGATTCATTTGGACTGCAAATACTGGATGGTAGGTGGAAATATGATCTAAGGTCAAATAATACAAAAACTGGGGCTAAAACTCAGCCCTATTCTTAATTTCTGGAACTACTCCAGCCAGGACACGCCTCTCATTCTAAGTATCAATCTCTTCTTAATTAACTGAGCTGATTGTGTTGAGGTCCTAAACCATCCCTCCAAATGCTCTGCTTCCAACCAGCCCACATGTCAAAGGGATCGATGAAGACATGGTCGCCATAGTGACTGTGACCACTGCAGCTCCACCATTAGGGTTCCTGGGAGTGGGTATCTGGCTTGAAGTCTCTCCGTAAAGAGAAGATTCTCAGACAGTGCTCCTGTAACTTTAAAATCACCTGGAGAGCATGTTATATCAGAGAATTCTGGGCCCACCCTGAGATGCTGATGTAGTAAGACCAGGGAAGGCCCGAGAATGTGCATTTCTAACAAGCTCCCTGGTGATGCTGATGCTGCTTGCCCATGGACCATACTTAGAGAAGTACTCTAGGTTGGATGCAGAATCAGGAAAGCCTAGGGCTGGAAGAGACTTTAGTAAGTGCCTCGTTTTGAGACATCTAAGTGGCTTCGGCCACTTCCAAGGCTCTAAGGTACTGCAGACAGGCAGAGGAAACACTGATTCTATACTTACTCTCAGCCAGGGTTCTCTGCTCAGTGCTTCACATGCATCAACTCATTTAATCCTGAAAATGACTCTTTGTAGTGGGTGCTATTGTTTATTATCCCCATATTACAGATGATAAAACCAAGGTGAAGAATGGTTAAATAACAGGCCTAGGACCACACAGACCCTCAGCAGCGGAACCCAGATATAAATGGAGGCAGTCAGCAAAGAGACCATGCTCTTAAACTACATCTAGGATGAGTACCGGCTGTGACAGTGATGTTTTCAAGACTGAGAGACAGAAATGATGTCTGCTTATAGTCAAGGTATGTCTTACTTTCTGTCAACTCATATTGTGCTTCTCTGGCCTCTTAGGGGAGATACTAACAGACACTAACACCTGCCTCCTGCCCCCTCAGGGTGGAGGTGATCTTAGGTGCTCAGGACCAGGTGAGGGGTGTGTGGGCTGAGATGCATCTGTCTTCAGCTGCTGACAGCCACACTGGGGTCAAATGCTGCCTCCGATCTTGGTGAATTCTCTGGGTGGACAGAGAGGGTGGAATGCAGGAATCCTACCTCTTCTCTCTGCTGGGTTAGGATGCACAGTAAGGAAAGCACGAAGCACCTTCCTCTTTATGGCTGTGCAATGATTAATGTCAGCCAATAACCCTGCCACGCACTGCATCTATGGCCACTGTGATTACATCAGTGATGTTTCATTGCGAAACTACTAAACACTATCTTGTAATCAAACTCACTGCTACTCATTTATGGCTGTTGAGAGTAGTGGACGGGACAATGTCCTGTCCCATAGTTGGAAGGGCTCAGTTTTGTTTTAAGCTGAAGTGCCTCACCTCTCTGGGTTTCAGGCCTTTGGTGCCTAAAATGCAAATCATGCTGGTCCTTTGTTATAAGCACAATTATTTCATAGGAATGATAGAAAGCCTAAGACTCATAACAATATTCATAAGACAGGGTTTAGGAGGAGAAGCATGAGAAGAGAAAGAGCCCTGGACTTGAACTTGTGGGGAAACATCTCAATTTTGCCACAGATTAGCTCAAATGAGTCATTTGCCCTCTTTTGGTTTGTGTTTCTCATCCGTAAAATGGAGCTAATGAAAGCTCCCTGGCCTCGTCCACAGGGTTGTTAGGAAGCAAAGGGCCTGGGGGCTGCGATTTCTCTTTTGCTCACTTCAACCCTACCACACTGAGTTTTCTTTGGCCTTTTACATCTCCCTGTCTCTGACCTACATCTGAACTCCAAAAGCTGGGATGAGGGTAGAGAGGTTACCATAGACTGAATGTGTCCCCCGAAAATTCATACATAGAAACCTACTGACCAATATGATGGTATTAGGAGGTGGGGCCTTTGGGAGGTGATTAGATCATGAAGGTGGAACCCTCACGAACAGGATTAGTGCCCTTATAAACGAGACCTCCGAGAGCTCCCTTGCCCCTTCCACCATGTGGGGACACAATGAAAAGACAGCAGTCTATGAACCAGGAAGTGGGCCCTCACCAGACACCAAATTGGCAGGCACCTTGATCTTGAACTCCCCAGCCTCCAGAACTGTGGGAAATCAACGTCTCTTGTTTATAAGCCACTAAGCCACCTAGACTATATAGGCTTTTTTTTCTTTTGAGGAAGATTGGCTGTGAGCTAACAGCTGTGCCCATCTTCCTCCACTTTATATGTGGGACACCCGTCACAGCATGGCTTGATAAGCCGTCTGTGAGTCAACACCCAGGATCTGAACCCCAGGCCATGGAAGTGGAGTGCGGGAACTTAACAGCTACGCCACGGGGCCGCCCCATATATAAGGTATTTTTTATAGCAGCCTGAATGGACTAAGACAGAGGTCAGCTATC